TATATAAAGTTTTACTAACATTCAAACTTTCATAAGCTAGTACCTTAGTAAGTAGTACAGAATTTACCTTTAAGAAGCTATACATATCTTCTTCATCATTAATTACTGAGGGAATATAGAAGCTTCCACCAATAGGAGGAGTAGAACGAGTATAACGACAGTTTGCTTGTTCTTCCTCCTCCTGGTCCAAATTTTCAGGGAAATAAGTGAGATCCTTTACAGGTAGCAGATTATATACCTGTAACAGTAGAGAAATTAAAGACAGAACTTACTTGCTCTTGTTTTGAAATATACAGTAAACTGAGAAAAGTATGATAATTATCCCTTTCTTGAGTACCTTCATGCTATTGGTACCTTAGAGAGGCCAATGTGAAGCGTAGCGGAGGTACGGTTAATTACCCTATTTGCCTATTATTAGATAGGATAGACATCAAGGGGTATTTTGGAGAAAGGGATAGCCAGAATACCTTGAGAAAGAGATGAAAAAGGGTTGGATAATAGGCTGTATGTGTACCTGGGGATTGGACAGATGTTTTAAGGGGAAATTGAAGTTCCTAGAAAAGGGCTGCTTTATTTGATGTTTTATTTTGGTGTTTTCTGGCCCTGGATTATGAGATATTTCTGCAACATTTACACTGTTGTTTTTTTCACCAGTGAGACCTTTCTCTTCCTTTCTAGTCTTTTATATATAGCATATCTATGAATGCCTTTTTTGATTCTATAATTAGAATCATTCTCCTTTTCCATTATAAATTTTGTTTTTCCTCTCTTATATACAGTAGAATCTTGAATTTCATATGATTCTGCACCCTAAAGCATCTGACTCAAAAAACAACTCCAGTCAATTCAGGCCATGTCATTTACCAGCTAAATGATCTCAGCAAGAAGCATCTTATCAGAATCCTTGTTTCTCTATGTGTAAATAAAATAAGGCTACATTATGTATCTCATTTTACCTTTTTTAGTTTTTACAAAGTAATATTGCTGGATATGACAGGAAATTAAAAGCACCTTTTTTTTTTTTTTTTTTTTTTACCTCCATATGGTCCGGACATTCCTGGTGGTGCAGCAGCTAGTAGAGGTATGTGACTCATTGTACATGACCTCTGTTTTCGGATTTTAGAGTTGGTGAGCACCTTTAATCCCATACCCTATAAAAACGATTAGACTGCATGAAATACTTTTTCCTTAGAATTAACTTATTAATTCCAATGCCCTTAACATTATATTAATTCCATGGACACATACACACTCAAGAAATATAGAATGGTAAAATTATAGTACTTTATGATTTTTTAGAATTGTGTAATTGGGCATCTTTTTCAAATAACTAAATACAACTAAAATATCTCAATGAAATGTCAGCTTAAACAATTAAAATTTTGTGTATTTTGAACGGTGTATTTTTTTTAAAGAATTTTACTTTATTTTCCCCATCACCATTTATCTTCTGTACCCTCTCCACCTCCTTAACAGTGTTTTTTGTTCTAAAAATGTACAATCTACTTGGGCAAATAGTTCCATGAAATAATAGAATCTTAAATTACCAAGGACTAATAAAAAATTCACTGTAAAGTTTAGAAATAAAACTAGACCAAATATGGGAAGGAGATCTAACTTGCTTCTGTGTTGGATGACTAATCAATGCTCTGAAAAATTTAGGTAAGAACTATTGCCATCTATAAACTTCTATTTCTACCACACAGGTACATTGATGTACCACATAGGTACATCAATGACTACATATCATCTATAGTCAATAGAACACTGTCTACACAATTGTAAACACAGGTCACTTTTAGGAACAAGAAGGATGACAGAGGAAAGAACCCAGAACCTATAGAATGGAACTAAGAGGCCTGGATATTTATTCCTGGTCTAGAGTAAGACTGAGTCATATCAAATAACTTGCAACATTTGCTTGGCTGGATCTCAGAATTGCTATGGACCAGTAACTCCTGTGTGCCTCCTGCTCCCCCTGCCCTTTTAAAAAAACAGGTGTGCCCTTTCGCAGATGATTGATGACAGAGTCCTTTGAAAGAAGATGTGGTACATATATACCATGGAATTCTACTAAGCCATAAAAAACATGAAATGTTGCTATTTGTGACAACATGGATAGATCTTGAGAGTATTATACTAAATGAAATAAATCAGGTGAAAAAGGACAAGAACTGTATGATTTCACTCATATCCTATATAATAAAAACCTACTATGCAAATTGACCGAACAGTGGAAGGATCAGTGGAATGACCGGTCACTATGATGCGCACTGACCACCAGGGGGCAGAAACCCTCAGGAGTGTCAATATGCCACTTTTCACCATTATATGCTGGGTGTGTGTGTGTGGGAGGGGGTAAATAACTTTGTACATTTTAGTTAAAGGTCGTTATAGCTAGAGAAACTGTACTTGAGGAACTATACCTAGGGAGTATCATATGCATCTAGAACCAAGTTAAATGATGTGGTTCAGTTTTTAAGTTGTTACTATTTGGGAATGAGAATTTTAGGGAGAAAAGTGAGTGTATTTTGCATGCGGGAAGATCATGAATCACAGGGAGTCTGAGGGTAAACTGTGAAGAGAGCCTCCCAAATTGCCCCCAATAATCTCTGCCTTCTGATATTCATGCTTTTGTGTGGTTCCTCCCATAATGGGTAGGGCTGACATCTATAACTAAGAAGATTTTGTGGAAATGATGGTGTATGAGTTCCAGGGCTAGGTCATAAAAGATATTGCAGCTTTAGCTTCTCTCTCCTGCCCCCAGCCTGCAGGCCCTAGGCCAGCCAAGGTGGGTGCCAGTGGGGGCATCCAGATTGCCCCACCAGTCACCCCATAGATTGGCTCTGATTGCTGGCCAGGCCTAGGGACCTACCTGTGCACGAATTTTGTACACCAGGCTCTAGTCTTAGATATAAGAAAAATAGCAGCAATGAGCAAACAAAACAAACAAAAAAATCTAAAACTCATAGATACAGACAACAGAATTATGGTTATCAGAGGGGAAGGAGGGTGGGAGGAGAATGAATTGGGTAAAGGGATCAATCACAAGTTGACAAAAGGAGACTAGACTTTGGGTACTGAGCACAAAATAGAGTAGACAGATGCCATAGTATAAAGTTGTACATCTGAAATTTATATAATGTTATTAGCTAATGTTACCCCAATAAATTTAATTTAAAAAGTAGGAAAAGTAAAAAAGAAACCCTCAGGAGTGTCAATATGCCACTTTTCACCATTATATGCTGTGTGTGTGTGTGTGGGAGGGGGTAAATAACTTTGTACATTTTAGTTAAAGGTCGTTATAGCTAGAGAAACTGTACTTGAGGAACTATACCTAGGGAGTATCATATGCATCTAGAACCAAGTTAAATGATGTGGTTCAGTTTTTAAGTTGTTACTATTTGGGAATGAGAATTTTAGGGAGAAAAGTGAGTGTATTTTGCATGCGGGAAGATCATGAATCACAGGGAGTCTGAGGGTAAACTGTGAAGAGAGCCTCCCAAATTGCCCCCAATAATCTCTGCCTTCTGATATTCATGCTTTTGTGTGGTTCCTCCCATAATGGGTAGGGCTGACATCTATAACTAAGAAGATTTTGTGGAAATGATGGTGTATGAGTTCCAGGGCTAGGTCATAAAAGATATTGCAGCTTTAGCTTCTCTCTCTTGAGTCACTTGTTTGAAGGAAATCACCTGTCAAGTTATGAGGACATTCAGGCAGTCCTGTGGAGAAGTCTGTGTGGTGAGGAACTAATGCTTCCTGACAACTGGAGGAGAAACACATCTTGGTAGTCGATTTTCCAACCTCAACCAAGTCTTCAGATAACTAAAGCCCTTCCAACATGCTGACTGCAATCTCATGAGCTCACAAGCTAGTGCCACTGAGTTAAGTCACTCTGGATTCCTAATCCACAGAAAGTGATAATAAATGTTTATTGTTTTAAGCCACTAAGTTTTGGGGATAATTGTTATGCATTAGGAGATAACCAACATAATAATCTTTGTTCTTGAGTAGAAGAGCCAAGTAAGTACACAAATGAGCATATACTCTCTATATGAGCATGCACTCTCTACGTTATATGAGCTCAACCAATGTTTTCCAGGCCATTTTCAAAACAAGTGAGCTTAAAGATTTTTATAACTTCAAGAACCCAAACCTTCCATTTTGCTCATAATTCTTTCCTACTTCCATAACACTCAAAGCTTTGTTATGTAACTGTGACAATTGTTAAATTTATATGACTAACTTTAGCAGGTTTGGCTTAGTGGACTGTGGACTGAAGGTTCCCAGGTTTGATTCTGGTCAAGGGCACATGCCCAGGTTGTGGGCTTGATCCCCAGTAGGGGATGTACAAGAGGCAGCCAATTCATGATTCTCTCTCATCATTGATGTTTCTCTCTCTCTCTCTCCCTCTCCCTTCCTCTCTGAAATCAATAAAAATATTTTTAAAAAATTATATGATTAAACAGAATAGGGTAGACATAAAATATTGAGGAGCAGACGAAATTCCTTCAATACAAACTGGAAAAAAAGAGCTTAGAATAGACTACCGTAAATAGGGAATGTAAAAAAACAAGACATGTCTCCAAAAAAAGTACCCAGAGAAAATTCTGTTGTTCAGGTTAACTCCTTAACACCCTCTCCTAACTCAAATAGAGAAATATAGTCATTGTCTTCTGTGTAATAATTATTATGCTATGAGGAGATTTTAAAAATTATTTATGTATGTATGTATGTATGTACGTATGTATGTATTTATTTATTTTGAGGAGATATTTTGACCTATTAATAAAATACTAAGGTTGAGAAGAATTTTGATTATACTTTCCATTCTGAAGAATGTTAATTTTGTTGATTAAAAACAGGATCATGATCCTTGACATAACCATCTCACAGTTTTAAAATTTTATACGCACAATTGAAGTTTGAGAAGTAGAAACTAGAATAAAACCCAAAAGAAGCTGCAATATTACTGATTTATCTTCCAACATTGATACTTACCAATACTTCCCCAAACAGGCAAGTTAATTGATCCTTTTAAATATTGATGCCTGAGGCAATGAAAGCTATAAAATTTGCCAGCGATAACTTTTTGACAATGATAAATCCAATCTACACTAATAAAAGACAAACATGCAAATTGACCATACCTTTGCTATGCCTTAAGCCATGCCCACCAGCCAATCAGAGTGACTATATGTAAATTAACCCAACCAAGATGGCGGCCGGCAGCCACGGAGCTGGAGTGAGCAGGAGGCTTGCTTGCTCCAGTGATGGAGGAAGCCAAGCTTCCCACCTGCCGCGGCCTGGCTCTGAGCTCCACTGAAAGCAACAAAGTTTCAATTATAGAAGCTAAATAAACCCCAGATACCTGCTTTCAGCCAGCCGTGGCCACGGAGCTGGAGTGAGCAGGAGTGGGTTGCCCCTGGTGAGGGAGGAAGCCCAGCTTCCCTCCTGCCCACAGAGGCCGGCTCTGAGCTCCACTCAAAGCAATAAAGTTTCAATTATAGAAGGTAAATAGATCCCAGAATAAAAAAAGAAAAAAGGAGAGGCTAGGAGCTTTCTTAATTGGGGGGATGTGGGGGGGAGCTTTCTTAGCCTGAAAATGGCCCTCAGCCCCCCACCCAGGCTGGCCAGGCACCCCAGTGGGGACCTCCACCCTGAAGGGGGTGTGACCAGCTGCAAACAGCCATCAGCCCTTCACCCAGGCTGACCAAGCAACCCAGTGGGAACCCCCACCCTGAAGGGGGTGTGACCAGCTGCAAAAAGCCATTAGCCCCTCACCCAGGCTGGCCAGGCAACCCAGCGGGACCCCCACACTGATCTGGGATACCATTCAGGGCAAACCAGCTGGACTCCACCCATGCACCAGGCCTCTATCCTATATAATAAAAGGGTAATATGCAAACTGACCCTAACAGCAGAATGACGGAATGACTGGTCCCTATGACACACACTGATCACCAGGGGGCAGACACTCAATGCAGGAGCTGCCCTCTGGTGGTCAGTGCGCTCCCACAGGGGGAGCTCTGCTCAGCCACGAGCCAGGCTGATGGCTGCCAGTACAGCGGTGGTGGTGGGAGCCTCTCCCGCCTCCTCAGCAGCACTAAGGATGTCCGACTGCAGTGTAGGCCTACTTCCCGCTGGCAAGTGGACATCCCGGGAGGGCTGCCGGGCTGCCAGAGGGATGTCTGACTGCCAGCTTGGGCCTGATCCCCCAGGGAGCCGGCCTAAGCCAGCAGGTGGACATCCTCGGAGGGGTCCCAGATTGATAGAGGGCACAGGCCGGGCTGAGGGACCTCCCACCCCCGAGTGCACAAATTTTTGTGCACTGGGCCTCTAGTAACATATAATTTAATTGACTTATACTGAAAAATTCAAAATATGAGTAATGTAGTTCTACATATAGGTTAGAAAAGTAGCCTCTGAATTTTCCCTTTTTGCTGATAGATTTCTCTTAAAAAACCCTGTTTGAAAATATTTTCTCCTAATACCAATTATTAACCAGTATTTCACCTTTTATTTTTCTGAGCCATGTAAACTTTTTATTATAGTCTCTCTCAAGTCACTGCTCTATAAGGACAAGGATTGTGATATGTTTACTGGTATTTCCCTAGCTCCTACAACAGACCCAGTACACCGTGTGCTGTTGCTGCTGACGATAACAGCAATAAATCAGCATGACACTCCAAATATTACCACCATGAATTATACAATTCTAGAAACAAGGAGAGACTTAAAATTTTAGTCTGTGAATCATCATTCCTGACAATGGTGTGATAGGTCGTGTTCTTTTTTAATTGAAAATAATTTGTGAATCATTTATTACTGCTTTTACAGACCCCAAGTACTCTAGAGACATACACTGTTAGATCCATTGAAAGTTTCGTGACATGCTTGTATTAATTTTATAAAATTAATTACTCCAGTGACCAAAAATGATTTAATTTGTTTTATTTTTGGCCAACAATGATTTTACTTAAGCAATTTATTAATTTATTTTCTTTTTTTTGGCATGACCTATATAAGTATTAAATCTTAACAAAAGTTAGCTTTCATTAAGATTATTGTAAATCATGAGTTAACAGGTTTAAGTTTGATTCTTTATAGGAATGGAAGTTATGTCTAGGAGGAAATTGCAGTTTGTGGGCAGTTTCAGAATGACGTCTTCAGCCATGTCACTTCTGGGTAAGCTGGCACAAGTCTCAACTGTTACAAACCTCAGTGCTTTTTAAAAAACATTCTTTTTTAAAAGTACATATTTTTATTGATTTCAGAGAGGAAGGGGGAGGGAGAGAGAAATAGAAATGTCAATGAGAGAGAATCATTGATTGGCAGCTTCCTGAAGGCCTCCTACTGGGGCCTGAGCCTCCAACCTGGGCATGTGCCCTTCACAGGAATCAAACCCGGGGTCCTTCAGTCTGCAGGCCCATGCTCTATCCACTGAGCCATACCGGCAAGGGCTACAAACCTTAGTTTTTACATCATAAAATAGGGCTGTTGCTCACTCTGTGGGATGCTGGAAAGAGTAAATGAGAAAATGTGTGGGAGAGCTTGAGATACTATATAATATTAGACTAATGGTAAATATTTTTATTATATTCTTGCATTTTACTCTCAACAGGGCCTTCTCTTTGCTCTGAGCACCTCATGCAGCCCTTTCTAATCCCTGACGCTGAGGGAACTCACCGAGGACGGGGAGAGCTCTGCCTCAGGCCTCAGGAGGTGCACGCTTTGGTCCACTGCGCGGAGGGCACAGAGCGACTGAGGAGAAGCTGTGACTCGCAGGTGGGCCTGCGAGGCTGGAAGACTTACTGCTGGGTTGAAGCTCAAATCCACCTGCGAGACATGAAGGAACAGTCATCCCGCACTTCTGCTTGTGTCATCCTGCAGTGACCACATTTCTGCGTCATCCTGACATTCAGCTGTAATGACTACGCTGGGAAGCATCAGACAGGAAGGAACCTCTTTTATCATCTTGCCTTTGCTGTTGAAATGCTGTGTTGCCCTAAGGAGGCAACGCAGGGTCATAAGGAATAGATGCCTTGCTTGAATTTTACTAGTAGAGGCGCATCATTACCTCTGATTCATAATACAGTTTTCTATTTGCTCTTCACGTTTTTGAAACGTTTGAGTCACAGCATCTTACATACCTCACACAATTGAATCAGTGGAATTGGGCACCATGGGTACAAAGTTAAATTATGTTTTATGTGGAAGCAATTTTGTGGACTTGGAAAATTATTGTGCTAGCTGCCTGGAAACTTTTGGACAACTCATTTTACTTTTCTGGATTCATTTTTTCCCCTCTCTGAGGTTAAATAGGCAGTACCTACGATACCATTTATTTCTGTTCTTGTGATTTTTTTGCTAAAGACACTCACCTTGTTGACTAGACAGTTTTCAATCTCAAAACTCTGTGAATCTCCAATAACTTCTCCATTTGGGAAAATGGTAAAGATGAACAATCGTGCAATGGGAGCAATGTCTGACTTCACAGGGAAGGCTAAGGAAAAGCTGCCTTTCACTGGGGCATGGAGAGAATGAGACAAAATGGTCATAGGTCAGGACGCTGTTACTAGGTCTTATCCAACTTAGAACTGTGCCTATGCGTTCAATGGCTTAACCTCTTTCATGCCATTCTAGTGAAGGGGTAAAAATTAATAGGCTAATGTCTCCCTTCACCACTTCCATTGTAGAATAAGTTCAAGTTCCTTATATTCACGCTTACCTTTACCTGATTTTATACCTTATTTATGCCTAAACAAACTTAAATCTGCTCAAAAGTATTCTGCTGATATATACACATTTAATTAAAGCCTGATGGACTCATTTAAAAATTAAGAATAAGAAATTTATTTCGTGATGAATAGCAACCATTTCTTTTAGATTTCAGACAAGAGATGATTTTCCATTTAAAGATAGAGCTGTAATTTATAAGATATAATCATAGAGTTTAAAATTTTTTCAAATATATGCCTTTTTTTTTGTTGTTGTTGTGACGAGAAGACAACAAAATTTAATCATTTTTAAAGAATGCTTTAGTGGTGCTAAGTACATTCACATTGCTATGAAACAGATCTCCAGATCTTTTTCATCTTGCAAATTGAAACTCTATTCCTATTTAACAACTGCTCTATTTCCCCTTTCCCCAACTTCTTGGGGACCAGAAAGGCAGTACTATGGCATTCATGTTTTTGTATCATTGGAGAGATCAAGTTTCAGCTTATAATTCTAAAAAGAGTAAGTTCCCCTCTAAAAAGAGGGAAATTTCAACCCTTGTATTTGCTATCTTGAGCTAACCATACAAGGTAAGAATAGATTGAAATATTATAAACATGGAACGAGAAGTTATGGTACATAACTTTCTCTTTTTTTTGGCAGAGAAAGTTTTGGAGGGAAAAATAACCTCTTAGTAATGTTTTGGCAGAGGAAACTTTGGAAGAAGAATAACCTTTTTGTAATGTTTTGGCAGAGAAAGAAAGCTTTGGAAGTAAAGTAACCTTTTAGTAATGAAAATTGTGAAGGCTTCATTATTAAAAACCTAAATTCTGAATTTCAAACAGATTTTGAAATAGTTCTGAAATTAATAATTTGTATCCTGATATTAAAACACTATGCAAAATAGCATATAAAAAAGAATTATATAAGTAAGCTAAACTTAAGTAATTCAAAAGGTTGAATTAGACAAACTGTGAAACAAGTTTTTGGTGTTTTTTTCTTAATCTAACACAGTAAAGAGTTCTCAGTAGCTCTTTAGTGGAGAACAAATTGGCAATTAATAATGTAATTATGATGTGTGATTAAAACAGTTTTATTCTAAATAATTGTGATTTAACTACTTATATAGAGAAATACTTTCAGTTATTGCTTCAGTCACTTTCAATACATTTTTTTGATGTGTTCATTAAGTAAATAATTAATGGAGTTTTCTTTATATTACAAGTCAGAGATTATTTCTTTTATGAATTATGCACAAATTAAAATATCAGAAAAAATTAGATAAATAGTGTTTTTAGACACACCTCTTTCTGTAAGTGCGTTACATGTTTCATTGTTAAAAGAAAGTAGAAAAACAGGCAACAAGATGGAGTGAAGGGGAACCTTGCAAGCAATAGGGTCCAGATCGCTGTATCGATCTCTACATAAATATTGTGGAAAATGATATTCAAAACTGCAGCGTTCTTTAATGTTTATTTCAAACAATTATTGAAAGTGCTGATTAATAGCTTATTTTAAATTAAACCTTCTTGAATATTGTTTTGATATTAAAAACAGCCTGGTAAGGAAAGGAACCATAAAAGTAAAGAAAAATCATAGACTTGGAACAAATCCTAAGCATTGTTAAGTTTAGCACTGGGGTTGTGTGGAGTTTGGTGAAATACTTGCCTTTGTTTAGATTAATTACAGGAATGTTCATGGGTTCTTGTTTCAGTGATTTAAAACTTGATATAGATTTAATTGGAATAGAAAATAATACTGGTTTCCTTTCTTCTAACTTATTCATGAAGTGCACTCAAGTTCATGGGTGAAGTACTCAATTTCATGCCCACAGCACAATATGCATCCTCATAAAGAGCCTAGCTCAGAGACTGCACAAAAGATAACGTCCCCCTCCATGATACTTAACTCTCTTCTTCTTTGCAATTCTAAGATTAAAGATGGTCAATGTACATTTGTTGTTAGGGTTAAAAATAGAAGAAAGCGCCCTAACTGGTTTGGCTCAGTGGATAGAGCATTGGCCTGCGGACTGAAGGGTCCCAGGTTCGATTCCAGTCAAGGGCATGTACCTTGGTTGCGGGCACATCCCCAGTAGGGGGTGTGCAGGAGGCAGCTGATTGATGTTTCTCTCTCATCGATGTTTCGAACTCTCTATCCCTCTCCCTTCCTCTCTGTAAAAAATCAATAAAATATATTTTTTTAAAAATAGAAGAAAGCTTAGATTTTTAAAAAGTTTTTATTTTAATGTCAGACAGAAAAGACTAACATGAAAAAAAAGCGTGCCTTACCAGAGTGCCTCACATATAGCACGCAAGCAAATTTATCTGTTGACTGTTGTTAGATCAAAAAATGCCAAAGAGTTACGAGGAGGATCTTAATTTTCTCTTTTGTCCCCTTTTTTTTTCCAAGTTATTTTTTAATCCTCACCTGAGGATATTTTCCATTGATTTTTAGAGAGAGGGTAAGACAGAGAGAAACATCGATGTGAGAGAAGCACATCGATTGGTTGCTTCTTGCACACATCCCAACCAGAGCCTGGGCCTGGAGGGAGCCTGCAAAACCAAGGCACGTGCCCTTGACCGTAATCAAACCTGGGACACTTTGGTCCGCAGGCTGAGGCTCTATCCACTAAGCCAAACCCATTAGGGCTTTTGTCCCCTTTCTTAGTGTAAAGGGATAATGGGAATGATTTCCCCATTTGTGAACTGTCACTGAGTAAGGGTGGATGTGTTGGCAAGGAAACGGGGAGACTGATTGGAAGATACTCACTGTCTCCTGGCTCTACAGGCAGAGCATGTGTTCCTGATCTGACGATGCCTCCCTTAGCCATGATCTGAAATGAAAAATCAGCAGAGAAAAGAACTTTTCTGACACTGTTTTCAACACTTATTCTCCACATAACATATTTTTTTTTTTTTAAAAAATCAGTTTCAGAGAGGAAGGGAGAGGGAGAGAGAGATGGAAACATCAATGATGAGAGAGAATCATTAATCAGCTGACTCCTACATGTCCCCCTCTGGGGATTGAGCTTGCAACCCTGGCATGTGCTGTGACCAGGAATTGAACCATGACCTCCTGGTTCATAGGTCGATGCTCAACCACTGAGCCACACTGGCTGGGCCACATAACTGACTTTTGATTGTTGAGTCTCTGCTAGAGAGAATCAACCTCCTGAAAATCAAGAATCAAGGGAACCTTGATGAGAAAGCAAGATAGTAGTGCACAAATACTTTTTACATTCCTGGCCCCATTCACCACTCTGTCTACTGATAAACTCCAAATATATCTGTGGCTTTACTCTTACCAGGTAATAGAAAATGAACTCCTTCAGTTCCCCAGGGGCCGGCACCTTGAGTATATAGTGTGCCCTGATAGTCTGTGTTTGGTCACAGGGCAGGGTACCAACCACAGGCTCCAGGTCAATGAAACTTCCACTTAAGGAGAAAACATGTCTTGCAGTGTGCTGAGCAGCCCGGTGTTCTTCTTGTAGAAACGCAATCCTATAACACATGTCACCTTTCTCATGGTAGGCCTGATAAAACAGAAGAACAAAGAATCAATATTGTCTTGAAGGTCTTCACTTTAGCTTCCCACCAAAATGAAGTTACAATTTTGTGTCTTCTACTCTAAAGTATATTTTGCATTTCTCTTGTTCTTGCTGACTGCCAACTAAACATATTGTCAATCTCTTAATTTGCACAGATTAAAAGAAAATAATCTACATATTTATCTCCTTTGTCCTGATTCTGCCAACTCATTACTCATTTGACTCTTGTGCAGCTCAGAGCCAGGGGAACAATAATGGTCCAGTTAAAAAGCTAAAAATCTTTAATAGGAGTCTCTTTTAAGTTGGTTTAATTAAAATCACATTATATATATTAACAAAATCTCTTATTACCCAGGGGTGTCAAAATAAATAATCCTCAGAAAATTAGCATCTATGCCTCCTGTGATTATTGAGAGAGAGGGTGAGAGAGATTATTTGTTCCACTTTTTTTATGCATTCATTGATTGATTCTTGTATGTGCCCTGACTGGAGATTGAACTCCACGACCTTGGTGTATCAGAATGATGCTCTAACCAAGAGAGCTACCTAGCCAGGGCTTTATAGATTTTTTTTATCCTCTTTATTAGGCAATATATAAATGTGTGTGTGTGTGTGTATGTGGGGGGTTCTGATCATTTTAAAAATATCTAAGTAGACATAGAAAAACAAATTACATGAATCCCCCATTGAAGAACTGATATTGTTGAGGAAAAAAATCCAATGAGATATTTAGATAATACATAGATTTTAAGAACAATTTAAAGATTTTTTTTATCCTCTTTATTAGGCAATATATAAATGTGTGTGTGTGTGTGTATGTGGGGGGTTCTGATCATTTTAAAAATATCTAAGTAGACATGGAAAAACAAATTACATGAATCCCCCATTGAAGAACTGATATTGTTGAGGAAAAAAATCCAATGAGATATTTAGATAATACTTAAATTTTAAGAACAATTTAAAATTTTTTATTTTATTGTTGACAGTATTATAGATGTCTCCCATCCCCCCCTTCTCTTACCCCTTCCTTAAAAATAATTCTCAGGGACTTCTACAGTATCTTTTCTAATGTCTTTATTATTTCCAATGACAGTTTTATATACCCAAGTTTATTCCCAAATTGCACAGCTTCTTATTTCTCTCTCTTAAATACAGCCTGTGTCCTTCTTCACTTCTGAATAAATGACTGTTTTGCTAAGGTTCTCTTTGTTCTCAGGTTTTGTTTTCTTTCACACTTACTGTAACAAAAAGGTAGTTAGTCAACATATTGGTAGTATCGATTGAAAACTGTGCAAGACCCTGCTCATTGGTAGTTGTATTGAAAAAATAATCGGCTTCAAATGCGGAGATGAAAACGAGTTTATTGGGAATGGGCACATTTTTTCCATCTACCAGGAGCACCTACAGAAGAAAAATAATTGTTAAGTTATGTGGAGAATACTGAGAGAAGGTAGAACTCATGGGAACAGACTGCTTTGCTCCCGTGACTTAAAAACAAAAACCAAAGAATAAGAAACAACTCTTTCATATTGATTACAAAACTGTTTCTTTGCATTTGGATCCTCATCTTAATTTTCATTTTCTGAAACAAATCTGCACAAGAATGTGTGTGTTTTTTTTTTTAGAAAAATTCAGTAAGTATAAAACTGCTAAAATTGATTGTAAATATGAATAAAATCAATATTATTTATTTATTGTATTATCTTAAAGTATGTACCTGAAATATGAAAATTATACAATAATAATAGTCATAAACTGCACACTATTATAATTCCAATATTTAAAAATAAAATAATTTATTCACTTATTTCAAACAGAACAAGAAATTGACAGCCATAAATTGAGAGTCATTTGTGAGAAACTGCTGGCTGGATAATGGCAAAAATATATTTATTTATTGTAAAATGGGTGGGATAAGGGGCTTGATGTAATAACTAACTTATATTACATTAAACATCTTTATTAGTTACATATTCAAAAAAGAAACAGTACCTCTGATTCTCTTAATACTGTAGTGTATGTTCATGTATTTTATCAGTGATATTACAAAGGAAACTATCTACTTTGGTTTTGTTCAATGACTTGGGTCATATTAATTATTTGCTAATACTAACTAGGTTTGAATTACATCAGTGTGCCCTTGGCCTAGGAACAACTGGACACTTCATTTACCTCTAAATTGCAATACACTCTACCTGACCAAAGAAGGGTATTCCTCGTCGAAAGTGTGAATCCACTTTCACAAACTCGACTCTGGTTGCAATGGTTGTGATTTTACTGGTCCCACTTCCAGTGAACTCTAGGTCTGAAAAATATAGGTAGGAAAGAGTAAGTACTAGCTGGTTTGGCTCAGTGGATAGAGTGTCGGCCTGTGAACTGAAAGGTCCCAGGTTCAATTCCAGTCAAGGGCACGTGCCCAGGTTGTGGATTCGATCCCTAGTAGGGGGCATGCAGGAGGCAGCCAATCAATGATTCTCTTTCATCGTTGATGTTTCTATCTCTCTCTCCCTCTCTGAAATCAATAAAAATATATTTAAAAAATTCATTTCCTACATTTGTTATGACTTTTATTTTGTTACGGGAAACAAATCAATATTTATTGCTTTACCTCCCAAATTAAGTTAATACTCAAACCTGTTCCCTCTTCTCTAATCTTGGCTTCCACTGTAAGTTCCATTTCATAACCCGCATTCTTAAGTTGGAACAAGTTTGTGTTTACTTGTTGGGTGATGCAGCCATTGCTGTTGAGCTGCGAATACAAAAATTGATAAATGTCACACAGATTCAGACCAATAGTCACTAAATCTACTATTTCCTTTTTGGTATCAAGAATTTTTTGGGTTAAACATGTTAATCAACCTTTAGGAATTTAATATTCATATTTAATTTACAATCTCTATGATTGGTCATCAAAATGAGAATTTTGTTGACTATTAATAGGGATTTCATCTTTGGTGGTGAATATTTGAAGATCAGCTTATTCTGATGCCCGTTAGTAAAATGGGGTAGCTCAATGGTTGTCAACAATAGTACACAGAGAGAAAACACTGTATACTAACCTGGTGACTGAATTCCTCACAGAACTCTTTCTTTGGACAATAATAAGAATGAAATAATTTTCGGCACATGCGCACGGTTGCACGTCCTGGCACAGGTTTCCCATAGGTGTATCTGTCACATAAGAAATAAATCAGGAACTGAAGAAAGGTATCTACATTTTCACTAACAGCCCTGCACAGAGTAATTATTTTCTAATAACAACTCATCAAGTAGGAACATGTCTGGAAAATGTCTCTATAAAGATATTACTCAGTAAGGCATTTGAAACTTTACTTCAATGCACAGCCAAATTGCCTTGGGATATTTTTATGTTTTCATTTTTATTATTCTTTTTATTTTGTCATAAAATCAAATCTTGCTCTTTATAACAAATTTAAAAAATCTGTGATGAATAGAATAAAATAAGTAATAAGCAAACACAACACACACAGAGATAGATAGATAGATAATAGATAGATAGATAGATAGATAGATAGATAGATAGATAGATAAGAGAGATAGAAAGCCTAAAAAAACGATTCATGGGGCATATAAAGTTTTTCATGTGTGCACTCTATACTTAACTATTTCTCTATATTTTAAATACAAATGGAATAATTGATAAGTTTTTTGGGGGGTCACTAGTTTTGCTTTTCTATTTGCAAATGCCTGCAATATAACTTCAAGTAAAAAATATAATCAGAGCAACCACTATGAAAAACTGTATGAAAATTCCTCAAAAAATTATAAATGGAGAGAGATTATTTCAGTGTTTAAAAATTTGTTCCTTTACTGCACCAAGAGGATCTATGCAAAGCACTCAAAATATTCTCTTAAAACTGGCCGAAGGAGAGAGTAAATTAATTAATCAATGTACCATGAAGGACCAAAAAGGCAAATGCAACAAGTGGGACATTTATAGGCCAATTGACCTATTGTTTTCCATAAGCTAACACCATGGGACAAAAGGAGGGTCTAGGTTTTTAAAACTTTGAGCTATTTATAGATTTCCCATGGCTTGTTTAAAAATATTAGGAAAAAAACTATAGGGGAAGGAATCAATGAAACAAAATTGGCAAAATTTTATAGTGTTTATAATAGGTGACGGTCACAAGTGGTTATATTTTACTATTCTGACAACTTTTATATTCAATCAAAAATTTTCATGGTAGAGAGTTGGTAAAAAAAGAAAGTACACATGAGTCATAATAACTAAAAGCAATGTATAAAGACATTTTTAGGAAAATCTGAGAATTTTTAGGAAAATCAAGGATACTTGAGTGTAAACTCAAAATTAGTATTGAATAATCACTTTTTATTTTATTAAATGTGACTATGTCATCATTATTGCATAGAAAAATGTCACTAATTTTTAAAGGTCTATACTGTTGTAGCTGCGTGAAAATGTCATGATTTCTGTAATTTATCCTGAAATGTTAAAGAAAAAAAAATCAGCAAACATGTTTATTATTTATTAAATCATGATTGTGTCTACATTCTTTGGTGCATTTAAGAAATTTCTACACTCTTTGGTGCATTTGAAATATTTAATAATATAAATAAAGAGAGGTCACTGAGATAAACTTTTAAAAGTGCCAAGTAAAATTAATTTATAATTGTGTACTAGCTAAATAATCACTCAAAATTGAGGCAAAATATGAAATTTTAGACAAAAACAACTTAACTCACATTCCACATACTGATATGTCCACTTTTTCATCCAGGATACTGATTATCTTTGGGACTTGAACTTTGACCTCAAACTTGGGAACCACTGTTGATAGAGATAAATAGAAAGAGGGAAGTTGGTAAATAATTAATGGAAATACAAATATTTTCATGCCTATAATTTTTTCCACAAAAATAACCTGAAAAGTAACGTTCATTTTTCCATCTATCAACTTCAAGATGATTAGGTTTAATAATTCATGCAAAAATCTGACTTTGTGACCACAACAGATCTCAGTGATGTTAACAAATGATGATGTTCCACTGAATTAAACATTTTGATACTTGATAAAGTATAACTTGCTACTATAAATCACCAAGCTCTTATAAACTTCTGTGTTCACAGAATAATGATGGCCTTAGAAAAAGATATAGCTGACTCTACTCCAAGTTTAACATACCTGTGGGAAAATAAAAAAATCTAAGTGAATTCACACTATGAACCGAACAGTTATGATCCTTTCATTTTTCATAATCCATACCAAATTCCTCCACGGTGAAGGGGTGCTGTATATTTCCGCCTGATTCCTTCTCTACCACCACCTTGTAGGAGCCCTGAATCAGCTCTGATGAGAGGGGAAAGGCTAACTGTTTGAGGCCACTTTCTAACTTGAGATTCTGCCATTGTCCAATTCGATTCCTTTTTGGGTTCTAGAGGTAAGAAAGGAGCATGGGAATAATTATTTAGTCATGATAGCCCTTGACAAAACACATGACTTTCAGGGTAGTAATTGGCATTACCTTCAGGAAAGACAAACACAGAAGAAAGGTGAACCACAATAAACCTGACATCTGAGAATAGGAAAATTTAGATCTAAAAGTTGTTTTTTCTTTTTTTTTTTAACAACAGTTCATTTGTCTGGAATAGTATCAGAATTTCCTCTTCCTTAAATGCACTGACTTCCTTATAAGATATTATTTCTGATGCTTACCTCAAGGTATACCAGTGGAATCTATATGAAAAAATGAAAGAAGAGATGTGATTAGAATTTCACCAAGGCTATGATTTCAGATTTATGCTTAAACAACTTACTAAGGAAAAAGAATGTTTGTAGTAAGATATATCAAAATCTAACTAGAAACATAAAAGAAGTGGAATTGCTTAGAAAAATCAGTAAATAGTTCTAAGAAAAGCATAACATATTTCTACAAAAATCATCATGTTGTCATTTCTTTGAAAAATATTATTGTTGAATGATATTTATTAATATTTATTAAGTTACTAGAGGCCTGGTGCACAAAATTTGTGCACTAGGGGCGGGGGTGAACCTCAGCCCAGCCTGCACTCTCTCCAATCTGGGACATCCCTCTCACAATCCAGGACAGCTGGCTCCTAACCGCTTGCCCCTAACCACTTCTACCTGCCATCCTGATCACCCAATAACCGTTCCCCTGCCAGCCTGATCGACGCCTATCTGTTCCCCTGCTGGCCTGATCACCCTCAACTGCCCTCCCCTGCCAGCCTGGTCACCCCCAATTGACCTCCCCTGCCACACAGTCACCCCTAACTGCCCTCCCCTGCTGGCCTGGCCCCCCCAACTGCCCTCCCCTGCCAGCCTGGCCCCCACAATGGCCCTACCCTGCAGGCCTTGTCACCCAAAACTGCCCTCCCATGCAGGCCTGGTCACTCCCAACTGCCCTCCTCTGATAGCCCAGTCACCCCTAACTGCCCTCTCCTGCAGGCCTGGTCCCCCCTAAACCACCCTCCCCTGCAGGCCTGGTTGCCCCCAACTGCCCTCCCTTGTAGACCTGGTCCCCCCCTATTGCCCTTCCCTGCCAGCCATCTTGTGGCCACATGGGGGTGGCCATCTTGTGTGTTTGAGTGATCGTCAATTTGCATACTGGCCATGACTAATTAGCATATCAGGGCTAATTAGCATATCCCTCTTATTTGTTGGAGTGATGGTCAATTTGCATACTGGTCATGACTAATTAGCATATCTGGTCATGACTAATTAGCATATCTGGGCTAATTAGCATACCCCTCTCTTATTATATAAGATTAATATTATTCACCAATATTATTTAAGCACTAAAATCCTCCTAGTGAAGACTATGACTATATTATTTACTTACATAAATTAAAAATTGATGTTAATAAAGTTATATGTCATTATGATTTAGACTTAACAGGAAGAAAATTCCCAGAATTATTTGGTTAAAATAAAACAAGAATACTTCTTTTAATTTCAAGATTGTCTAATATCTACCTTTTAAAAATAGCCTTGTTTCTTTGCCTTCATATTGAAAGCTACTTGAAGGAAGGGACACACAATAAACATAAATGAAGACTTTATATATAATGAATAGTATATGATGTATGTATAAAAATTATAAAATATGTTATCATATATAATAAAATTATATATTTTACTAGTGACCCAGTGCACAGATTTATGCACATGAAAGGAAATTAATTAGAAGGTGGCCAGCGAGGTGGGACTGGGCAAGACGGGCTGGACATGGCCTGGAGCCAATCTCCCACGGTCCCTCACCAGCTGGTCGCACCTGGGGTAGTGTCATGGCTTGAAAGGTGTCTGTGGAGTGAGCAGGGTCCCTCTGATAGGTGGGGTCCCCCGGCCTGGCCTGTGGGAATCGGGCCGAAACCTTGAGGGGTCCCGGAGTGCAAGAGGGCACTCTGCAAAGTTGCTGTCATAAAGGGTGTGGAATGCAAATGCAAGTGTAAAGTAAACCAGATTCGGGCTGACAGAGCCCCAGCAACAACATGACCCATGGCCGAAGGTGGAATCGGGCTCCCTCCTCTCTGGTTTTGAGGTGCATCACCCAAGAACCACCCCTGCCAAGTCACTGCAGCTCAGCAGCTCCTGTGTTGAGCGTCTGCCCCCTGATGGTCAATGCATGTCATAGCAACTGGTTGGATGGAGGGAAGGACACTTAACATATTAGCCTTTTATATATATATATATAAATAATATATACATATATTCAGAAGAAGTGAAACTCTTTGGTGCTTTAATTAATTATGAATTCCTTCAGAGTATGGGTATGGATAATACATAACTTTTTATTGTACCTGTTCATTATACTTAACGTAGTGTTTTGAGAACAATGAATGTAGCTGACTATTTCCAGACTGGTTTATTACTGTTGTAGGAGAAAGAGCTTTCTTATCTCTTACTCCTCAATTATGCCTTGTATAAGACTCTAGATTTGTAGTAAAGCTGGAATCTAGGTTCCAAAAGGAATAGCTTTCACTTCACTTTTCCTGGACTTTCCCATCCCACCTTGGGTGAGTGCTCTCATCCCACCAACCACCACCCACCCAAACTAGAGATATTGAGATACTTACCAGTTCATTTAAGGGGTGAAAATTTTCATCCACAGAGACAATGCGGAATTTTACTGAAAAAGAAATTTTCTGGTAAGTCTCAGACACGATAAAGCCAGTAATTTAGGTAATAACACAGAAGACTAAGAGATCAAGATAATGGTGACTTTGTCAGGAAACCTGTTGAGGAGGTGGAATTTCCCTACATACCTGTCTGTCCTGGTTTATAGATGGGTTTGTCTGTCTGGACAAAGATGAGACTTTGATCGTTCTTTACCAGCACTCTGCTCCTCTTCCTGAAGTCTTGTGTTTGTCCCTTTATGTGGACAGTGAAGAAAGCCACCTCTGAAGAGGATGAGATTCTTGGGAGCTAAAGAACAAAGATACCACTGAGGAAGAGCACAGTCTTCTCCCTTTGACTCCTTTAACCATTACTATTTTCTGTCTCTCATTCAGCTTCATAAAGGGCGCGGTAAGTATGAATATTTCTCCAGGTATAAGAGTGAAGATATTAATATAAGATATAGGAAAACTATATCAGTAAGAACAGCAATCAATGGGACACAAATTCCCATATAGCTCATCTGGAACTCTATTTGTTAAACTGTACTCTTTTTAACAGAGTATATGTTTTCTGAAGGAATGGAGAGAAGCATCTCTGAAAAAGTATGGAAGACTATAGGAGCTAAGTATTCCAAGTTGAGCATCCTCACAGAGGTACTGGATATTTTCTTGGAGTACTTTGAACCATTTACATATTCCAAGGACAAAGACACGTAATATCCCACTGCGAGAGAAAAATTCTGCTGCATGCTGTCCTGTTATGAGGTATTTATACAATCTGTTTCTAGGCATTGTCCAACTCTGGCCTGAAAGAGGTGGTTATATAACAAAGCTAGAAAGAACCTATAAATCATACAATTTCTATGGCTAATACATTTATTTTTTACTAGAGGCCTGGTGCATGAAATTTGTGCAGGGGGGACGGGGGTTGTCCCTCAGCCTGGCCTGCACCCTCTCCAATCTGGGATCCCTCTCGCAATCCAGGACCACTGGCTTCTAACCACCCACCTGCCTGCCTGCCTAATGCCCTGAACTGCCCTCCCCTGATGGCCTAGTCACCCCCAACTGCCCTCCCCTGGTTGCCCCCAATGGCCCTCTCCTTCTGGCCTGGTCACCCCTAACCCCCTGCCAGCCTGATCTTGCCCCTAACTGTCTTTGCCTCGGCCCCCACCACCATGGCTTTGTCTGGAAGGAAGTTGGACATCTGGAAGATGGCTAGTTGACCTGGTCTAATTAGCATATTACCCTTTTATTAGTATAGATTTTTTAGGAAGTACATTGAACTTTGGCAAGTAGAAAAATATTTCTTTCTTACCCTGGTGAAAAAATTCATGCTTTGTTCCTCAATAGCTAAGAATTCATCGCCTTGGTTCTTTCTGAAATCCTCACTAACATTTGAAAGTCATTTTTTGGGATTGAACACTAGTTCTCCATTACCATGGAGATATAATGTATCAAATAGGGACGGGCAGCTAGTACTCACCGTGAAGGAGACACAGCGGAATAAGTCCTTCTCTGCCACCAGGTCAGTGAAGAGTCTCCTGTTCTCCCTGGGAGACTCCAAAGAAGCACTGACAGTCACTGTCTCATTCAGGTGGCTCAGAAGGAGGCAGCCTTTCTCAGGGGTCCCAGTGTGGAGCAGAGAGGGGACCAGCACCATATACTGTCTGGGAAGGGAAGAAGGCTAAATCAGAGAAAAACCAGAGGATAGCAAGTATTTTCAACCATCATTGTGTTTTCCATAACAATATGTACTTATTACTACAATCAGTTCTATACTGTCTCCTCCATCTTATTTGCATAAGAATGATACCTTTTACTCATCAGTAGTGCCTCATAAGTTGACTTTGAAGATATTTCAATTTTATAGGCATTCTTTGTTTTAAAGAGCCTTAATATATAAATTCTTGAATATAGACTCATAAAAGTACACATATATAATAAATTGTGGGTGATTACTCACTTTATAAAAACAGTTCACATTAAAATTTGTCTAAGTAAACATCACTTGTGCATGAACACCATGACTGAATTTACACAAATTCAACTGAAAGAACTTCAGGGAACATATATCTATTACATAAAATAATACATAAAAATGTAAATCCTCAAAATTTTAATGATTCCATGCTTGTAGGTTTAAGTCATTTATTTATAGAGTACCATTGCAATTAAGAAATACAGAATGATTTTTATTTATTTTTTTAATTTTTATTATTATTCTTTTAATATATTTTATTGAATTTTTACAGAGAAGAAGGGAGAGGGATAGAGAGTTAGAAACATCAATGAGAGAGATCGATCAGCTGCCTCCTGCACGCCCCCCAGTAGGGATGTGCCTGCAACCAAGGTACATGCCCTTGACCGGAATCGAACCTGGGACCCTTCAGTCCGCAGGCCGACGCTCTATCCACTGAGCCAAACCGGTTCGGCTAGAATGATTTTTATATTGTTTTATTGCCCTTTCCCTTCTACCACCAACATGAGCATTTATCCTTAAAAAAATACCACGGGCATTTGACATAGGAAACACAATTTTATTACTTTACAAAGTCAATAGGTGGGAGACTGGGAATAGGTAATAATACAGACAGATTAGTTGTTGAATCTGGAGGTCAATTGAAGTCTCCACCGAGGAGCAATCTTTCTGTATATGTTTTAAATTTTTTCTTGGCAAATTTATGTGCCACACATCTTTAGAGCCATTCTTAAATCATTAAAATCTCAAATTATTTATTGCATAAGTGCTAATGTTTTGTTATAAAGCAGAGAGGCTCAAAGCAGTTAAATAAACTACCCAGGGTCATTCAGATGGTACTTCTCAGCTAATACCTTTCTTGCATTTGGATGTCTTTGATCTACTGAACATTTGCTCTTTTAAAGATGTAATAGCCTTTAAAAAAAAGATGTAATAGCCTTCCACCAGGCTTACTGCATCAGTAGCATCAAAAACAACTATATGGGAGCAGGCAGTGGCAGCGCCCATTTGTACACATCTTTCTCCTATTCTAAATTGTGTCTTGAGCTCTTTCTATCCAATTCAAAAGAACGAATTAGGGGCAAACGTCTAGGCCAAGCATGTGAAACTCAAAGGCTAACATGGGCCAAATAAACAAGGTTTAAGTTTATGTGTGCCACAAAAAAACCAAAAGCTTCAATTTTCATAGAAATGTAGGTTTATTTCGATAGAGACATGCTGAATGCAAAGGGCTGAAAAAAAGGAGTAATCGTTAACATAAAATAATAGAATATTTTAATAAAAATTAACATTTTTTCTTGAACATTAACTTACCAGATACTGAATAACTGCACAAATTAATAAGCATAATGCAAATAAACTAGTTTTCTTGTTCTCCAAAAGCAAAATATTTCCTGTTGCTCATACCAAACAAGTCAGTACAAGACTAATGATGTGGCAATCGGCTGCTAAAATACTCGCTGCTAGTATTAGTGGAGAGAAATGGTGTGCCTGCGCATAAGGTGCGTAAGGGAAATGAATGTAACACGATTATAGTAATCAGTCATTAGCAAACATTGTAGTTCATTATTAAAAATTATGTATAACAGGATATTGTAAAAATTAAGTTATGAAATTTTTATTAAAATGTTTTTTACATACTGTTATATTGGCTGGTCTGTAAAAATATTCATTGTGGGCCAGTTTGACATGCTTGTTCTAGGCTGATCAGATTGACATATTTCTCTGAAAATTTTATTAGTTACCCCAAACTTCTAGTTAAATTCATCATTTGTTAGCAACTCCAGACTATGGTTAGGAAGCAGAAGATAACAAATTTTATCTGAGTGACCCATATATTGGTCTATTATCTTATCTCCTCCTTCTCCCCAAATTGAATTGTAATATTATTCTCTGGACTCTGCTTACAGAAAAGACTTGAAGACTAAAGTCATGCCTACTATAATCCATCATTTCCAAAGGCTTTACTTTCTCTCTATATTTTAAAAACACTTTATTGAGGTATGATTGACACACAAAAAGCTGAACATATTTAGTATGTACTATTTCATTAGTATGTAGTTAGGTATATAACTGTGAAGTCATCAGAACAATCTTTGCTATAAACATATACATCATTTCCAAAGGTTTCCCTCCTCTTCAATTATTATTATTATTATTGTTATTATTATTATAATGGGAACACAATGTAAGATCTACTCTCTTAGCAATTTTTAGGTATGCAGTACAGTATTAATTATAGGCTCTATAAAAAATTATCATTTTTTACCCACATCTACTTTTTCTTCTTAGTTTTTTGATATTAATAGAAAAGATATCATCAGTCTATTATAATTTTATTCCATATACTACTTTTATCTTTAGCCAAATTGAGATCACAATTTAAAAAATTCATTCCATACATATTTGATATTTCAAGCAACTATTTCACAAAGGTTTGGTTAGCATTCATTCCTTCAACAAATATTGAAAATGGAACCCATCAAAGTTGAGTAATTTCCCCGATATTTCACTCGTACTGAGCAAATAAAACATTATAATGTATTACTTAATCATGAATGTTTGCATTTTAAATATTTGCCTTGGTAGGGGTGATTAAATTTTGCACATATTAAACTGGTGACTTCATTTTTTAGTGTCCCCACCCCCCTACCCTCTTCCACCTCCACCTCCCTGCCCCCGCCATCACCACACTGTTGTCCATGTCCATTTGTTCTTTTAACCTTATCTTTTTCATCTTCCCTCTGTAACCTCTATCTGTCTAGGCAATAGCTCTTATTTATCACATCTAGGGCTAATGAGGGATGGTTAAGGTGAACTTCGCTATATAGTGAGGAGAAAATACCTCTTCTGTTATGACCACTAGGCCGTGAAGCTTGTTCTTTGTTAAATGGCGGGAAAGATATAAAGTAATGGTTTTCAATGGGCAGAATAGTTCTCTGTTGTGTTGGACTGAAAACACAGATTGCTTAACATTTCTACCCCAATAAATGCCACTTGCTTCTTCTATTTAGACTGTACTCAGAAAACGGAACAGCCCTCACATATTTCCAAAAGCTCTCTGAGTAGAATGCAATAATGCAATGCATGACGGTACCATCCACAGTTTTGTAAATGAGGTAGAAGAATAATGAGAAATACACCCCTACTGGTTACTGGGAAATTATGCATTGAAGAAGCCTGAAGAAGGTAGGAACTTGAGTTCGTCAGAGTTCTGATTTTTCACTTCTGTACATTGGCCTGGAGAGGATCAACTGTCTTAGTTGGATAAAAGTAACACTCAGGGCAGAAGATCCCTTCATCTCTCTCCTCATTTGGTGCTCTGGAGGCTGCTCTGTACCAATCTGGGATGTAGCTACATCAGAGTTATCTAGGAGTACAGTGTGGGTAGGCAAGGGAGGGTTAGAAGTTGAACTTTCCAGGACACTTCAGTTGCCTATATGTTGTTATTGGACCCAAGGATTTCATAGCTCTCCAGAAGGAATGTAAAGGCAGCTGGCTGAGGCCAGTGAGGCCGGAGGCCTCCAATGGGTTACTAGAAAAGGTGATCCTGCAGCACAGACTGTGTTGGAACAACAGCCGTAGAACAGGAGGCAGAATGATGTCGAAAGTTGGGAGTTCTACGTGATAAGAAAGAGCTGAAGTGAATCAGAGTCAGCTAGAGAGAACTTCTGGGACTTCTTGATAAAGGGACCAAACTGAGAGAAACTAGTTGGCTAAAGACTCAAATGATGAATGTTAGCAGGTAAGGATAAACCAGATTGATATTGGCTAAGAAGACAAAGAACTCAGAGACCAAGGGCCCTGCCCCGTCTTCTCCACCAGTAAGTAATAGCGATCACATTCTTCTGGACACTGCCTTGGAGAGGAACTGAGAAGTGGAAGAGAAGACTTACAGTTTTTGGATTTCACCAACTTTATAACTGAAGAGCGTTAAAATTACTTTCCCCCTGCATTGACCATTTACTGAGGGTTCTTGATGAAGAATCAATAAGTTATTGAAAAATAAAGGAATTATATTTTCTCTATGCATGTGATCTACAATGTGAGCTAAATTACAACCCACTATACACTTTAAATATTTTTATAGTTAATGCTTTCTATCCAAAAGAATGAGTCTGTGGAGTCTCAGGTTTTAGTTTATAATGAAAACATGCCTCCTAGTGATGACATTGTGTAGATGAATATTATTTTAAGAGTACAGAATAAACAAAAGGAAAAATATATTAACCATTTATGATTCCTCTGTTATGATTAGAGGATATTTTAAGGAATGGAAAGGTAGTGTTTAATAGGAAAGACAAAGCAAAGCTATAAAAGAGAGACTAAAAGAACAGACTTGAGGAAAAGACTTTGAGACTTACGGTTCTGCAGAGTTTGAGGCATTGGTAGAAAACAGGACAAGGAGAAATAGTGTGAAACCTGAATGAGGAAGTCTGTCTTGCCCCATCATGAGGGAAAAATCTCAGGGCTGTATTGTGCCTAACTTCCTGTCTTCAGCCTGGTCAAATTTACCAGGCTTTATATGGCTGCTATTTTGCAAGGCCCACTACAAAGATCTCAAATAGATCTCAGAATTGGACACAGATTCCCAAAGAGGGTGGTTGCTCTCAGTGATTGCCTCATTACTATCAAGGCTGATTATTTGTTTTCCAATGGAAAAAAGAGGGTAGTTTTTTTTAAATGCCTGGTTCTTTTTTCTTTTCCTTTTTTTTTCCTTTTCATAGTGTGAAATAGAAAAGTAAAAGAAAAAGCTGGATGGTGGTAGAATAGGTCTGCAGGAAGTGTTTTTTTCCCCTTTACTTATAACATTGAATCTGAAAAACATACACCACACAATACAACTTTTCCCATAGCTGGAAATTTTTAACAACTTTCTATTTAAATGTAATTAACACAACATAAAAGTCACCATTTTAAAGTGTACAGCTAAGTTATTTTTAATATTTTCACAGTGTTATATAATCACCATCACTATCTAATTATTTGTGTCTTTTTTTTCACTTAGCATTATATCTTTAAGGTTCACCTATGTTGTTGCATGTATCAGTATTTCTTTATATGGGTGGCAATTATTTCATAGTATGAATGTACCATATTTTGTTTATTCATCAATTGATAAAACATTTGAGTTGTTTTCACTTTTTTGTTATAATGAATAATTTCTGCTATGAACAGTTGCGTAAAACTTTTTGTGTGAATACGTTTTCAATTTTCTTGGGTACAGAAATAGGAGTGGAATTGCTGGGTCACATGGGAACACTTTTTTAAAATAGATTTTTATTATTGATGTCAGAGAGGAAAGGAGAGGGATGGAGAAACATCAATGATGAGAAAGAATTATTAATCAGCCCCACACTGGGGATTGAGCCTGCAACTTGGGCACATGCCCTGACCGGGAATCGAACCATGACCTCCTGGTTCATAGGTCAATGCTCAACCACTGATCCATGCCAGCCAGACTCACGTGGGAACTCTTGTTTAAAATATTGAATACCTGCTAAACTGTTTTCCCCAGAAGCTGCAGATTTTTTACATTGCCACCTGTAATATTTGGGGCTTCTATTTTATCGATCAGCTGCCTCCTGCACACGCCCCACTGGGGATGTGCCCACAACCAAGGTACATGCCCTTGACCAGAATCGAACCTGGGACCTTTCAGTCCGCAGGCTGACGCTCTATCCACTGAGCCAAACCGGTTAGGGCTCGTATATCTTCTTTAGAGAGGTTTCTGTCCAATTTGTTCACCATATTTTAATTCAGTTGTTTGTTTCCTTATTGTTGAGTTGTAAGAGCTTTTTATATGTTCTATGTGCTAGATATATATTAAATATATGGTTTGCAAATAATCTCTCATTATGTGGCTTGTTTTTCTCTATTGATAGTATTCTTTGATGCACAAACTTTTTAAATTTTGATAAAGTAAAAGTTTTACCCATGAACCCTCAATTTTATTCTATTGATCTATATGTTTACCCCTTTTCCAGTGCCGCACTCTCTATTACTGTAGTTTTGTAGGAAGTTTTGAAATAAGGAAGTGTAAGTCTTCTTTATTTGTCCTGCTTTTTCAATATTGTTTTGGCCATTCTCAGCACCTTGCAACTCCAAATGAATTTTAAGATGAATTTGTCCATTTTTGAAAGAAAAGATGAAATAAGTTGTAAGGTTTTTTAAGTGTAAACCAATATCACATATAAAAGCTTCTGGACAGAAGTGAGTTATGTGGTCTTAGTAGTTGCTCAATACTGAAGTCTCAAGATTTGTAGACAAACTCAAGGAGCTAAATAGCTAATTAACCCTCCTATGCACCTATGGAAATAATTAGTCCAAACCTAATTAGAATACCATCTTCTGTTTTAAAATATCAAGAATAATCTTTGGAGAGAAGATTATTGTGAATATGTTTTCAATTTTCTTGGGTATATAAGTTTTCTGAGAGAAGACTGTCAGAAAAATTATCAGGAACTTAGAAAAAAGGCAAAAGAATTGGAGCACTTTCTTTTAATTAGTCCAACTTTGGGGCAAGGACCACTTAAGGAGTATCTGAGAATAGACTTAGTTCATTTAATTATTTACTACAAATGAAAGTTTCCAGACTAAATGAAGTTACTTTTGATTTTTGTCAGGAACATATGCAAATAAAAATAATTTCTGTCCAGTGGAACAGATAACCCCAAAGATTTTATAGCATATTTTATGTTATTTAATTTTACACTTAACCTATCATTCTTATCCTAACAGTTTTTTTGGATGCTCTTTGAAATGGTTATTTCATTAATTAATAGGTTAAATTAAATTTATTTGACATGTATTCATTTTAAGTTTGCCTGGCAATATAAATTTTCACACATATATGAACCTAGCACAGTTAATACTATCCATCTTTGAGTCCCATTATGAACTACACAATATTTTATAGAAAAAGTGATCTTTAGCCCCGGCTGGATAACTCAGTTGGTTAGAGTGTTGTCTTGATATGCCAAGGTTGTGGGTTTGATCTCTGATCAAGGCACATCAGGAAGCAACCAATGAATGCATAAATAAGTGGAACAACAAAATGATCTCTGTCTCTCTCTCTCTCCCTCCCCCCTCTCTCCCTTCCTCTTTCTATCTAAAATCATAAAAAACTGATCTTTTACTCTAAAATATTTGATAAAGACATTCCCTTTTGTTTTCCTTTTTTTTTTAAAATGCCTGGTACAAAGAGGAAATTTGTTTTTACCTTCAGCTGTTCAGTTCCAGTGACTAGATAATTTGGGGGCCAAGTGTTACTCAAGTGTAATGATGATGAAAGTATTTTGCATGGCTTTTATATTAACAGACTTTGAGCATCAACGGTCATTTACTGGACTTGACAAGTTTCACTTTTATCAGATTAAGTACACTTTACATTGGCACAGATTTTCTCAGGCAAAAATTTGTTCAACAATACCTGGAATCCTTGCAGAACTTTTGCCTTTGGTGCCTTAAATGTTATTAATTTTAATGTCATTTTGTTAATTCTGATTCTTAAATTCTAAAAGAAAAATAACTGAGAATATTAAATAAAAATCATAAAGAAATTCTCACATTTCCTTACATTTTTAAAATGACGAAGAAGAATTGTCTTCAATAATACTTCTACTTTATATTAAAGACCATTCACACATTTCTTGAGGGCATGTACAAGATGGATTAAACTCTACAAATCAACCTTTTCACCCAAACATGCATTGAAGTCCAACAGCAGTAATGACTCATGGATTTTTAAATTTTATTATGAATTATTCCATTTTTCTTATAACCACAGGAGAAATGAACAAGAAAACTCTTCCTAGAGAACTTTGACAACAAGAAGAGTTTCATTTGTTTTTTGAGAAAAGCTATAAGGATGGCTGAGGGCTAGAAGTGAAAAACGGACCCATATCTCAGATGATATTTGTTTGTTTGTTTGTTTGTTTTTAGTTATGGGACAAGACATTTTCATTGTTGAATAAAACAGTGAAAAAATTTCATTGCTTTCTCTTTCCTTCACCCAATCACTTGGGACCTTCTCATTTATTTGTTCTGATTTAAAAGACAAAGAAGAATGAAATAAGTAAATTGGGCCAATGAATGAAAACATGTTATTTTAATTGGGTATTATAGTAGTTGTCATAACAAACTGGGTGGCTTAAAACAAGGGAAATTACTTTTTCATAGTTCTGGAGGCCACAGGTCAGAAATCAAGGTATTGACAGAGGTGCTTGCAGGATCATTGTTCCTATGCTAGGATGTCCCTGGTCGCAGAGCTGACTGGCAGCCATTTCTGTTTTCTTCACCCTGGTGATTCCCTAAGATCCCACCTCATTCAATTTACAAGCCAACCCAAGGGGTTTTGCATATGAATGGCCTGTTCTTGTTGCAGCTGGGTTAGGGATCCCCAAACCTAACAATAAAAGGCCCAAAGACCCAGTACCAGCACCAGACTGCCTTGCTTCACAGCTGGGTCTCATCTTGGCATTTCCAAACCCAATACAAAGAGGAGGAATCTGTAGATCTCTCTGTAGTTCCTGCTGGGTGGCCCCAGGCAGTGGCTGACTTTGCACCTCCCTGGAGACCCAAGAGCCAGTGTACCAGTGGTCAGTGCCAGACCATACCAGATTACAACTCTACATATCCATAACCGACACACTCAAGAGGCAGACTCAGTGAGCACCAAAGCCCCACTGAAGCAAGTCCTGCTCCATAGGGGTGTCTTCTGCCCAGAAGCTCTCCCACTGTAGTCACAGCTGGTCCTCACAGCCAATTGGCCTGGAGGTCAATTCCTCCCAGTGACACTGGTAGCAATCAAGTCTCAACTACAACAAAACTGTGCTCACAGCCCACAAAGGGGTGCACCTAGAACTCCCAGCTTAGGTGACTGGGGAGGCTGAGCCACTGGGCCCTATAGCATACCTACTACACAAGGCCACTCTACCAACTCAAGGAGACATAGCAGCTCTACCCAATACATAGAAACAAGTACAGGGAAGTAGCCAAAATGCAGAGGCAAAGAAACATGTCACAAATGAAAGAAATGGAAGAAAGCAAACTACTGGATATTTAGTTCAAAACCACAGTTATAAGGTTACTCAAGAATATTCTAGAAACCTCCAAAAAAAAAAATGGAAAAGGACCAGTCAGAAATTAAGCATACACTGACTGAAATAAAGAATAGCATACAGGGATTCAACAGTAGAGGATTCTGAGAATCAAATCAACAATTTGAAATATGAGGAAGCAAAAAACACCCAACCAGAAGAGCAAAAAGAAAAAAGAATCCAAAAATATGAAGATAGTGCAAGGAGCTTCTGGAACAACTTCAAGTGTACCAACATTTGCATTACAGGGGTGCCAGAAGAAGAGAGAAAGCAAGATATTGAAAACCTATTTGAAGAAATAATGACAGAAAACTTCCCTATCTGGTGAAAGAAATAGACTTACAAGTCCAGGAAGCACAGAGAGTCCCAAACAAGAGGAACCCACAGAGGACTACACCAAGACACATCATAATTAAAATTCCAATGGCTAAAGACAAAGAGAGAGTC